CCTCTTAACGAGCATCATGTGTTCCTGTGGTTTATTGCTTTTTCCTGGCTCACAGTACTGCTGCCACAGGAGTCCTACACCTCAACCCTGCCCTGGCTCTACCTCCATCGCTCCCCCTGTTTCAACCCTACACCTCAACCCTGTCTGTCCCTGGCTCTACCCCATTCACTTCACCTGTCTCACCCACATGAGCCCTACACCTCACTCCTGTCACCCCCCCCCCCCCCCCCCCCCCACCCCCACCCACTGTCTCACCCCAACCCTAACCCCTGTTTCTGCCTTCCTGCTACCTCTGTCTACTCCTTTATGCCGCCATACCTCCAGCCTCCCTCTCTTTCTACCTCTGTCCTCCCCTGTCTTTCCCTCAACCCTCCCTCTGTCTTTCCTCCCCCTCTTCCCTGTCTTTTCCTCTCCTCTCCTCTCCTGCTCTACCTCACCCTCTCCTCCCTCCTCCTATGCTTCTTTCCACTTTCCTCTTCCCCTCTCTACCTCCCCATTCGTACTCCTCCCCCCTGTCCAGCCACCCCCATCCTGGGACAACCTATCTGCAGCACCATGGAAACTTCTGGATGATGTCATGCAATATGGCCGCCATTCAAAGGCTGACATCAGTGGAGAGAGAAGAGAACTCCTCATTCTTTCCAGGTCCAGGTCCTGGACCAAAAACCTGTCTCACGCTTACCTACGGTACCTATACCTCAGTCTATATCTGTGACTAGCCCTCTCTCTCTCTATCTATCTCTTTCTCTACCTCTGTCTCTCTTGACCTCTGTATCATGGTCTCTCTCTCCTTTTCTCTCGCTCTCTATCTCTCACTCTCTCTCTCTCTACCTCTGTGGCTCTCTTTCTCTCTCTCTGCATCTCTGCATCTACATTTCTATCATTCTCTCTCCTTCACCCTCCCTCTTTCGATGTCTCTGTATTCTCTCTCTTCTGTCCTCTCCCTCTTTCTGCCTCCCCCAACCCTTTCTCTCTTATCTCACTCTTATCTCCCCCTCTCTCAACATCCCTCCATCCTTCCTTCCCTACCTCCCTCCCTGTCTCTGTCCAAGTCCCTTAGAGAGCACCTTAGAGAGCTTACAGGCTGGATCACATCTGTCCTGTCTGTATTTGCTCTTTCTCTCTCCTCTGTCGCCACAGACATTTATTTCACATAATGTTGTTTCCTGTCTACCTGCCTGGCTGTCTGGGGATGGGCCTTACTTTCCTAGGTTTTTCTTGGCACGGACAATGGGAAACGACAGCGTTTAAGATCAGGGGACACGGTCTGCCGACGCCCTCGAAAAGGTATCTTTCTCTCTCACACACACAGACACACAAATGCACTCACACGCATACAGACACACAAATACACACACACACACACACACACACACACACAAATACACATGCCCTCACACATATACATATTCAGACATAAACGGACACACATGCACACACGCACGTGCACACACAAAACATAAAAAGAGCTTCTGATTAACGACTCTTCCTGCAGAGCTAATGATAATTACATTAAGGTTGAATAGAGATAACATAGCCATAACTACAGTACTCTATAACTCTGCAATGACTCTATAGCTAGATACTGTATCACACTGGCTGTGTAAATGATGTAACGCAATATCATCTTAAACGGTACTACTAGCTAACCCATACATTCACAGAAATACCACAGTCACACACGGTACGGTACTCAAACATAATTTAAGTGTCACGACTTCCTCCGAAGCTGCCTCCTCTCCTTTTTCGGGCAGGCTTCGGCGTTTGTCGTCACCGGCCTTCTAGCCACTGCCGCTCCTCATCTCATCATTCCATTTGTTTTGTCTTGTTTATTACACACACCTGGTTCATATCCCCTCATCAGTACCTGTATAACTCTTCCCTCTGCCCCCTTGTCTTTGTGTGTGATTGTTTATTGTGGAGGTTAGATTAGCTCGGTGGAGCTCCTTGTATTTTGTATCGGCTCCATCAGAGCGGGAGAAGGTGTCCGCCCTCGTCTCCTGCCTCTCGGGGAAAGACCTGAAGTGGGCCAACGCAGTCTGGAGTAAAGGAGGAGCCGCGTTGGACAACTACGGGGAGTTTGCTCGCCTCTTCCGGGCTGTCTTCGACCACCAGCCCGAAGGAAGAGAGGCGGGCGAGCGACTGGTCCAACTGAGGCAGGGGATGAGGACCGGCGCAGGACTTTGCCCTGGAGTTTCGTACTCTGGCGGCTGGGTCCGGGTGGAACGAGCGGGCCCTCATCGACAGATTCCGGTGCAGCCTGCGAGAGGTTGTCCGAAGGGATCTAGCCTGCCGGGATGCCATGTTGACTTTCGACCAACTGGTGGACACGGCCATCCGGTTGGACAACCTGCTAGCTACAAGAGGACGTCCTGGAAGTGGCCTGCCCGTTTTCACCCACTTCCTCTGAAGCTGCCTCCTCTCCTTGTTCGGGCAGGCTTCGGCGTTCGTCGTAACCGGCCTTCTAGCCACTGCCGCTCCACTCCTCATCTCATCATTCCCTTTGTTTTGTCTTGTTTATTACACACACCTGGTTCATATCTCCCTCATCAGAACCTGTATAAGTGTTCCCTCTGCCCCCTTGTCTTTGTGTGTGATTGTTTATTGTTGAGGTTAGATGAGCTTGGTGGAGCTCCTTGTATTTTGTATCGCCGGGATATTTCCCTGTGTGCCTTGTTGTCTACCAGTGTGCCTGATTTACGAGTGTTTGATGCATTGCTGCGTACTGCTGTGATTTACTCTCCTGCGCCTGACTCCTTCAAAATCATTCACCACAATAAGCAGCATATCTCAAACCACAATATGTCAATGTCAACAACCTAACCACAAACCACTCCAACATAACTACCACTTTACAGCTACAGTGGGGAGAACAAGTATTTGATACACTGCCGATTTTGCAGGTTTTCCTACTTACAAAGCATGTAGAGGTCTGTAATTTTTATCATAGGTACACTTCAACTGTGAGAGACGGAATCTAAAACAAAAATCCAGAAAATCACATTGTATGATTTTTAAGTAATTAATTTGCATTTTATTGCATGACATAAGTATTTGATCACCTACCAACCAGTAAGAATTCCGGCTCTCACAGACCTGTTCGTTTTTCTTTAAGAAGCCCTCCTGTTCTCCATTACCTGTATTAACTGTACCTGTTTGAACTCGTTACCTGTATAAAAGACACCTGTCCACACACTCAATCAAACAGACTCCAACCTCTCCACAATGGCCAAGACCAGAGAGCTGTGTAAGGACATCAGGGATACAATTGTAGACCTGCACAAGGCTGGGATGGGCTAAAGGACAATAGGCAAGCAGCTTGGTGAGAAGGCAACAACTGTTGGCGAAATTATTAGAAAATGGAAGAAGTTCAAGATGACGGTCAATCACCCTCGGTCTGGGGCTCCATGCAAGATCTCACCTCGTGGGGCATCAATGATCATGAGGAAGGTGAGGGATCAGCCCAGAACTACACGGCAGGACCTGGTCAATGACCTGAAGAGAGCTGGGACCACAGTCTCAAAGAAAACCATTAGTAACACACTACGCCGTCATGGATTAAAATCCTGCAGCGCACGCAAGGTCCCCCTGCTCAAGCCAGAGCATGTCCCATCTGAAGTTTGCCAATGACCATCTGGATGATCCAGAGGAGGAATGGGAGAAGGTCATGTGGTCTGATGAGACAAAAATAGAGCTTTTTGGTCTAAACTCCACTCGCCGTGTTTGGAGGAAGAAGAAGGATGAGTACAACCCCAAGAACACCATCCCAACCGTGAAGCATGGAGGTGGAAACATCATTCTTTGGGGATGCTTTTCTGCAAAGGGGACAGGATGACTGCACCGTATTGAGGGGAGGATGGATGGGGCCATGTATCGCGAGATCTTGGCCAACAACCTCCTTCCCTCAGTAAGAGCATTGAGGATGGGTCGTGGCTGGGTCTTCCAGCATGACAACGACCCGAAACACACAGCCAGGGCAACTAAGGAGTGGCTCCGTAAGAAGCATCTCAAGGTCCTGGAGTGGCCTAGCCAGTCTCCAGACCTGAACCCAATAGAAAATCTTTGGAGGGAGCTGAAAGTCCGTATTGCCCAGCGACAGCCCCGAAACCTGAAGGATCTGGAGAAGGTCTGTATGGAGGAGAGGGCCAAAATCCCTGCTGCAGTGTGTGCAAACCTGGTCAAGACCTACAGGAAACATATGATCTCTGTAATTGCAAACAAAGGTTTCTGTACCACATATTAAGTTATGCTTTTCTGATGTATTAAATACTTATGTCATGCAATAAAATGCAAATTAATTACTTAAAAATCATACAATGTGATTTTCTGGATTTTTGTTTTAGATTCCGTCTCTCACAGTTGAAGTGTAACTATGATAAAAATTACAGACCTCTACATGCTTTGTAAGTAGGAAAACCTGCAAAATCGTCAGTGTATCAAATACTTGTTCTCCCCACTGTATATGTTCAGATCAGGCTCTGCCTCCTTGGGAAGCCTCACAGGCAGACAACAACATTATTGTTCACAGTAATTCCTCTATTCACACTCTGCAGGTAGGGGTTAGAGACTCTCTCATCGCTCTTTCTGTCTCTCTTTTTCTCTCTTTTTTCTCGGTGCTTTCTTACAAGATTGCATTGCCATTTTAGTCATTTAGCAGACTCTCTAATCCAGAGCGTTCATCTTAAGATAGCTTGGTGAGACAACCACATTCACAGTCGTAGTAAGTACATTTTCCCTCAAGATGTTGTACTGGAAATGTGCAGGAATCTGACCAATTGAATTAAATGGCCCTGCCACTGAAATCAAATATGTTTTTCTTTGTTTTCCTGCTCACCACCTTTTAGCTGTAGCCTCTGGCCTCTAAACTCCATCAGACTAAAGTAAAGTAAGGGAACAGGGAGTGAGGGAGAGAAAGAGAGAGAATAAGTGAGGGAGAGAAAGGGGAGAGTGCTAAGCATCATTTGGAAACTATGTGGCTTATTTTCCATTTTCTGTCTGTGCTAGAAGCCTGTCCCGTCTCCGAACTGGGCTGGCAGACACAGAGCAGCAGGAGAGAAAGTTTAAACATCTTTCACAAAATGTCTGCATGTTCTGTTCCCAAGTTAACGGTTAGGCTGTTGTTGTGGGTTTGGGTTGCTTGGGTTGCTGGATGTGATTTGTGTTGACTAGGAAGGATGCTATAGGCTACAACAAGAAGAATGCTCTCAATGGTACAGCTGTGGAATTTTTTGAGGATTTGAGGGCCCATGACAAACCTTTTCAACCTCATGAGGGGGAAGGGGCGCTGTCGTGCCTTCTTCATGACTGTGTGTGTGTTTGTGGAGCATTTTAAGTTCTTAGTGATTTGGACACCGAGGAACTTGTAGCTCTCGACTCGCTGCACCGCAGCCGAGGGATTAACACTGAGGGGCCGTGGTCGCTCCCCATTGCAGATAGTCCATTTAGCAATTTTGTTAGCTCTCAGCTAGCTAGCAGTGTTATGGCCTGGGGATAGAAGCTGTTCAGGAGCATGTTGGTGTAAGAATTGTTGCTTCCCCGTTTCCTGTAGTCCACGATCAGCTCCTTGGTCTTACTGGCATTGAGGGAGAGGTTGTTGTTCCGGCCCCACTCTGCCAGGTCATTCACCTTCTCCCTGTAGGCTGTCTCATCGTCGCCGGTGATCAGGCCTACCACCGCCGTGTCGTCAGCAAACCTAATGATGGTTTTTGCAGTCGTGGGTGAACAGGGAGTACAGGAGGGGACTAAGCACACGCCCCTGTGGGGCCCACATGTTGAGGGTCAGCATGGCGGAGGTGATGTTGTCTACCCTCACCACCTGGGGTCGGCCCGTCAGGAAGTTCAGGATCCAGTTGCAGATGGAGGTGTTCAGTCCCAGGGTCCTAAGCTTGGTGATGAGCTTAGAGGGAGCTACGGTGTTGAACGCTGAGCTGTAGTCTATGAACAGCATTCTCATATAGGAATTCCTCTTATTGAGGTGGGTGAGGGCAGTGTGGAGTGCAATTGAGATTGTGTCATCTCTGGATCTGTTGGGGCGGTATGCAAATTGGGGTGGGTCTAGGGTGTCTGGAATGATGGAGTTGATGTGAGCCATAACCAGCCTTTCAAAGCACTTCATGATTACAGCTGTGAGTGCTACAGGGCGGTAGTCATTGTGGCATGAAACCTTAGAGTTCTTGGGAACAGGATTGATGGTGGTCATCTTAAAACATGTGGGCATTACAGACTGGGACAAGGAGAGGTTGAAAGTTACAGTGAATGTACCTGCCAGCTGTTCTGCGCATGCTCTGAGAACACGCCATGGAATACCATCGGGCCCCGCGGCCTTGCTGGTATTGACCTGATTAAAGACTTTACTCACGTCAGCCTTGGAGATCAAGATCACCCAATCTTCTGGGTCGGTGGCGGCCCTCAAAAATCTAATCAAATCAAATTGGCACGATGTTGTTATTGTCAAAGCATGCATAAAATGCATTGAGTTCATCTGGTAGAGAGGCATCGTTGGGCAGATCACGGCTGGGTCTTCCTTTGTAATCCATAATGGGCTGTAGCCCCTGCCACATGGGGTGGGCGGCGGAGTCTGTGTAGTAAGATTCCATCTTCTTCCTATATTGTTGTTTTGCTCATTTGATGACTCTGTGGAGGTCATAGCGGGACTTCTTGTACTTGTTCCTGTCCTCAGCCGTAGCCTCGTGGTTGTCTGCGATAGTCCTGTGTGCGGTAGCCCTGTCCTTTAGTGGTTAAGAGTGTTGTGCCAGTAACCGAAAGGTCGCTGGTTCTAATCCCCGAGCCGACTAGGTGAAAAATCTGTTGATGTGCCCTTGAGCAAGGCACTTAACCCTAATTGCTCCTGTAAGTCGCTCTGGATAAGAGCGTCTGCTAAATGACTAAAATGTAAAATGTAGTGCCAACTGCAGTGTAAATCCAGGGCGTTTGATTGAGGAAGCAGCGAAACTTAACAGTGGGGACAACGTCATTTCCTAATGAAGATGGTTAGCTCGTTGATGTTATCGGCGGAGTCACAAAACATATTCCAATCAGCGCTAGCAAAACAGTCCTGTAGCATAATCTCTGACTCTGGAGACCATTTCTCAAAAGAGCGAGTCATGAGTAATTCCTGTTTGAGCTTCTGTTTGTAAACAGGAAGCAGGAGTAAGGCTACATGATCTGATTTGCCAAATGGCGGATGAGGGAGGGCCTTGTATGCTTGCTTGTTGGTACCCCTAGTGGCGATGGAGACGTGTTGATGGAAGTTGGGCATCACGTGTCATAATAACGCGGAATTAACATCTCCGGCAACCAGAAAAGCAGCCTCTGGATTTACGTTTTCCTGCTTGGTTATGGCCTTGTACAGTTCGTTAAGTGCCAGCTTGTTATTTTTCTTGTCCTGAGATGGAATGTATACAACAGTCAAGATAACAGCTGAAAACTCCCTCGGTAGGTAAAAGGGTTGGCATTTGACCATCAGGTATTCCAAGACGGGTGAACAATGGGTCGACACTTCCACCGCGCTCGAGTCAGCACTCCAGTTGTTGTTGATGAAGAGGCAAACCCCTCCCCCCCTCGATTTCCCGACTCCACTGTCCTTTCGGCACGGTGAATGAAGAATCCATTGAGTTGGATAGCCATGGGGAGTATCTTGTCCGAGAGCCATGTTTAAGAAAGGCAGAGAATATTGCTGTTTTGAGAGTCCCGTTGATAGCAAATGCGCGATCGGAGGTCATCCATTTTATTATCAAGTGACTGTACATTCGCCAGTAGAATGGAGGGAAGAGGTGGCCAGTTATCCCTTTGCCTTAATCTCACCAGGATCCCCCCTCTCTTGCCTCTGTAACGCCGGCACTTCCTCTTGGGTAGCCTGAAAATTGGGTCGGAATTACAGAAAGAGCCCTGGGCAGATGAGTCGAAGTCGAAGTTGAAGCCAAAATTGAGGTAAGTAACTGCCAATCTGATGTTCAAAAGTTATTGTCGGTTGTAAGAAATGAGAGCGGATACATTTCGAGAAAATAAAGTATAAATAAACTACAAAAGAATCACAAAATAGTGAAGTTGGGTCGGCGCTTGCAAAACAGTGGCCATACAGTACGGCGCCATCTTTTTCACACCACAACCAGACAAATATACCACTTAATCTGACAAATGTGCCAAAGTGATTGAAAAAAACTGTAATGTCAACGCCATCATGAACTACACCCAATACCAGGACATTTTTGCCAAAAACCTGGTTGTGGATCTTCCAGCAAGACAATAACCCCAAGCACACATCAAATTCCACAAATAAATGGTTAATTGACCACAAAATCCACAAACTCAGTCTCCGGACTTGAAGTCCCATTGAAAACATGTGGTTTGAATTGAAGAGGGCAGTCCATAAGTGCAGACGAAGGATATCAAGGATCTGGAATGATTATGTATGGAGGAATGGTCTTAGATCCCTCCCATATGTGTTCTCCAATCTCATAAAACATTTGAGTAAAATGCTCAGTGCCGTTATCCAGCAAGGGGAGGGTGCCGGAGTATTGAAAACAAGGGTGCCAATAATTTTGGTCATGACTGTATGTGTGCACATTGCACTTCAAGCATAGACTGCAGGTTAACAAAAATCATATAGCAAAAGAGTTATCCCTATAAAACTATTTATCAATCAAATAAGTTAAGTATCTTTGGGCTATATGAAGTGGATTGTAGAAGTTATATGACACATAGGCTGCGTTTACACAGGCAGCCCAATTATTATATTTTGCACAATTATTGGACTAATCTGATCTGATTGGTCAAAAGATCAGAATTGGGCAGCAAGTGTAAACGCAGACTATACAGTACATCCTTCAATCCCATATGAGCTGTTTTATGCCACATCCTCATATCCCTCTTTCCCTGCCAAACCTAGGGGATCCAGAAGGAGTGATGTCATAGTTGTTCCACATTGTCTGTTCTCCTCCAGAGAGAGCAGTGGAGGTCGAAGGTGAGTTGGAACAGCATCAGTCCCATCAGTCAGACTGTGTTTAATTATTATGGAGCGCTTCGCCCCTAATCCTCCTTATACAAGCACACGGATTAACTGAGCACTGTGACAGTACAAAGACAAAAGTACCCACTGTGGGGTGCGTGTTTTATTTTAAATTGGGTGGGGGGGGTGGGGTGGGTTGTGTGTGTGCATTTTTATATTATCCTTTTCACAGGCCTTAGTTTAAAAAAGAACAAAAACACTGTTGACATTATCAATAAGCAACAGTTGGAGCACTTCCTTAGCCACAAAAAAAGTAACAATCAAATGTTCAAAAACAATACACCACTTCATTTTTATCTCTCTCCTATCTCTTTTCTCCATCTCTGGCATAAGCAGCAGTATTACATGCTGTGATGATTGTTAGGTCTCTCCAGCTTTGATAACCCCAGGGCCTGGCTGTCACTTATCTCCAAATCATCAACCTCTCTCTCATCTCCAACCACAAAGCACAGCTTAAAGAAAGAGGGATGGAGGGATGGAGGAAGGGAGGAATGGGGGGGGTGAACAGGCGTGACCAAATCTACCCTATCTGACTGTTGCCACGTGTTCAACGCCTCCCTTACTGTGCACAAAGATGTGGCAGTGAGTTTAGATGGAGAGAAATAAATAGAGAGAGACAGAGAGAGAGGGGAGGGGGAGACAGTTGCTCAGACTACATACACAGTTATACACAGCTGTGCAGTTCCAGAGAGGTGTTCCCCACAACACTGTACCAAGTACCTGATCTAAATCTTCACAATAATAACATAATCCAGAATGAAACTCCAGAACAAAAACCTCTTAGCATTTCAACTGGCAGAGATGACGATCTCCTCACGCCTACTTTCCACTCAACTTAAGGTTTTAGATCACAAATCAATCAATATCACCATCAATCAATATGACTAAGCAATGGACCATTTAGAGAAGATAGCAAGACCTACCTCAAAGACTTCTTCATCAAGTATTCTAGTTCCGAAGACCACAATTCCTTTGGTGTCAATGATGGGGTGTGGGCTCCTGGACAGTTTCTGGGTGGTCTTCTTTTTACAGTCCAGGATGATGGTGACGGTCTGTTTGTGAACGCTGATGGCCACTCGGTGCCACCTGGGAAGAGGGACAGAAGGTTAGCTCTCTCTCTCTCTCTCTCTCTCTCTCTCTCTCTCTCTCTCTCTCTCTCTCTCTCACACTCTCACTCTCACTCTCACTCTCACTCTCTCTCTCCCACAAACACATTTCACTAGAGTTATACTAACTTTAAGATGGACAAAGGGTTAGCTCACACACATGTTTTTCACTACGCTACAGTTACTGGCTGTAGGACTTGTGAAATGCTGATATTATAACCATACAGAGGTATAGGGACATTTTGGTCAGGATAGGGATGTATGCATGGGTTCAATGTCTACACATCCGAGGGCACTGTAACACACAAAGCTCAGATACTGTTGATCTGAGGAGGTTTTATTTAATGTATAATCCAAACAGTCTTGGTTGACTGGCTAGATAATAAATGATGTGTTACATAGACAGACAGCAGATTGAGATAATAAACATGTATGACCGAACACCTGCACAGAACTAAATCCCACAACGGTTCATCCACCAGACTCATCAAAGCTAGGCCAACACACACCTGCTTTCTGATTACAGAGAAGCAAGCAAGCAGCTACACTGAGTGCGCATTACATTTGTTTGATATGGTGGTCCTCTGTAGTTCAGTTGGTAGAGCATGGCGCTTGCAATGCCAGGACAGTGGGTTCGATTCCTGGGACCACCCATACGTAAAAATGTACGCATACATGAATGTAAGTCGCTTTGGATAAAAGTGTCTGCTAAACGGTGTATATTGTATTATTATATGGTACAATATAACAGAGTCCTCTGAAGAGTGGCTAGTGTGATATAATGCAGTATGTGTATGACATTGTACAGTTGAAGTCGGAACTGTCATTAAAACTCGTTTTTCAACCACTCCACATATTTCTTTTTAACAAACTATAGTTTTGGCAAGTCGGTTAGGACATCTACTTTGTGCATGACACAAGTAATTTTTCCAACAATTGTTTACAGACAGATAATTTCACTTATAATTCACTGTATCACAATTCCAGTGGTTCAGAAGTTTACATACACTAATTTGACTGTGCCTTTAAACAGCTTGGAAAATTCCAGAAAATGATGTCATGGCTTTAGAAGCTTCTGATAGGCTAATTGACATCATTTGAGTCAATTGGAGGTGTACCTGTGGATGTATTTCAAGGCCTACCTTCAAACTCAGTGCCTCTTTGATTGACATCATGGGAAAATCAAAAGAAATCAGCCAAGACCTCCGAAAAATAATTTCCAAATGCCTGAAGGTACCACGTTCATCTGTACAAACAATAGTACACAAGTATAAACACCATGGGACCACGCAGCCGTCATACCGCTCAGGAAGGAGACGCGTTCATTCTCCTAGAGCTGAACGTACTTTGGTGCGAAAAGTGCAAATAAATCCCAGAACAACAGCAAAGGACCATGTGAAGATGCTGGAGGAAACAGGTACAAAAGTATCTTTATCCACAGTAAAAACGAGTCCTATATCGACATAACCTGAAAGGCCGCTCAGCAAGGAAGAAGCCACTGCTCCAAAACCGCCATAAAAAAGCCAGACTACGATTTGCAACTGCACATGGGGACAAAGATTGTACTTTTTGGAGAAATGTCCTCTAGTCTGATGAAACAAAAATAGAACTGTTTGGCCATAATGACCATCGTTGTGTTTGGAGGAAAAAGGGGAATGCTTGCAAGCCGAATAACACCATCCCAACCGTGAAGCACGGGGGTGACAGCATCATGCTGTGGGGGTGCTTTGCTGCAGGGGGGACTGGTGCACTTCACAAAATAGATGGCATCATGAGGAAGTAAAATTATGTGGATATATTGACGCAACATCTCAAGACATCAGTCAGGAAGTGAAAGCTTGGTCGCAAATGGGTCTTCCAAATGGACAATGACCCCAAATATACTTCCAAAGTTGTAGCAAAATGTCTTAAGGACAACAAAGTCAAGGTATTGGAGTGGGCAACACAAAATCCTGACCTCAATCCTATAGAACATTTGTGGGCAGAACTGAAAAAGCGTGTGCGAGCAAGGAGGCCTAAAAACCTGACTCAGTTACACCAGCTCCGTCAGGAGGAATGGGCCAAAATTCACCCAACTTATTGTGGGAAGCTTGTGGAAGGCTACCTGAAATTTTGACCCAAGTTAAACAATTTAAAGGCAATACTACAAAATACTAATTGAGTGTATGTAAACTTCTGACCCACTGGGAATGTGATGAAAGAAATAAAAGCTGAAATAAATCATTCTCTCTACTATTATTCTGACATTTCACATTCTTAAAATAAAGTGGTGATCCTAACTGACCTAAGACAGGGACTTTTTACTAGGATTAAATGTCAGGAATTGTGAAAAACTGAGTTTAAATGTATTTGGCTAAGATGTATGTCAACTTCCGACTTCAACTGTATATAATAGTTTACAAGCTTAATTACTTTCCTTTCATTTTTGGGATTTGTGTGTATTGTTTTGTATTGTTACGTATACTGCACTGGTGCTAGAAACATAAGCATTTCGCTGTACCTGCGATAACATCTGCTAAACACACTGAGTGTAAAAAACATTAAGAACACCTTCCTAATATTGAGTTGCACCCCACCTTTTGCCCTCAGAACAGCCTCAATTCGTTGGGGCATGGACTCTATAAGTTGTCGAAAGCGTTCCACAGGGATACTGGCCCATGTTGACTACAATGCTTTCCACAGTGGTGTCAAATTGTCTGGATGTCCTTTGGGTGGTAGACCATTCTTGATACACACTGGAAACGATTGAGCGTGGAAAAACCCAGCAGTGCTGCAGTTCTTGACACAAACCAGTGCGCCTGGCACCTACTACCATACCCCGTTCAAAGGCACTTTTGTCTTGCCCATTCACCCTCTGAATGGTACACATACACAATCCATGTCTCAATTGTCTCAAGGCTTAAAAATCCTTCTTTAAACCTGTCTCCTCCCTTCATCTACACTGATTGAAGTCGGTTTAACAAGTGACATCAATAAGGGATCATAGCTTTCACCTGGATTCACCTGGTCAATCTCTGTCATGGAAAGAGCAGGTAGGTGTTCATAATGTTTTGTACACTCAGTGTATGTGTACGTGGGCCAATACAATTTGATTTGATTTGATTTAGGCAGAGTGATAAAGTATGCAGTAGGCCTACTATGGTTTATTTTATTTTATAGTATGGTATCAGACAAGGTTAACCTACCTTACCTTTCATTGGCCAGGTTGAGTCCTCTGAAGAGGGGATAGTTTGACTATAAAGTACTATAGTGTACTATGTAATGATATCAATTTACTATATAATGACATAGTAATACTGTATGTGGAATGAGGGGAACCTACTTTCCGTTGGCCAGGTTGAGTCCTATGAAGAGGGGGGTACTTTCATATACAGTGCTAAACAGTACAGCATAACTTTAGTGTATTATATGTCAAAATATTAGACAGGTAAACATACTAATACCGACGTAGTACGTACTTTCCATCAGCCAGGTTGAGTCCCCTGAAGAGGGGGTAGTCCTCTGGGCTGGGTTTGCCTGTGTGGTCCTCATACAGGAAGACAGGGGAGCGTCCCACCTCCACCCCCAGCTGCTGGATGCCCTGCTCGTTATACACAGACATGAGGAAGGACTGGGAGCCCTTCTTAGGCTTCACCGTAGCCAGGATGGAGAAGTCCTCAGGGAACACATCAGCTGGGGAGGGGAGAGGGAGAGCGAGAGAGAGAGAGAGAGAGAGAGAGAGAGAGAGAGAGAGAGAGAGAGAGAGAGAGAGAGAGAGAGAGAGAGAGAGAGAGAGAGAGAGAGGGGGCGGGAGGTTATAATACACCAGTTCATGTGGTCCTCTGTAGCTCAGCTGGTAGAGCACGGCGCTTTTAACGCCAAGGTAATGGGTTCGATCCCCGGGACCACCCATACACAAAAATCTATGCACGCATGACTGTAAGTCGCTTTGGATAAAAGTGTCTGCTAAATGGCAACATGCTGAATATGGAGAGACAGAGGACCACACACCTGCCTGGATTTGATGAAAAGCATTGTTTTCAAGAGAGTAACTAATCATCTAAGTAAAATCCAAATGTACAGTCCATCAAATAAAAGGTGTACTGCACCGAAAACTGTACTATCATAATCTTCAAAGGCACACAGTCAAGAAATTGTTATGTACTGAACCAGACAGAGGAAGGGAAGATGATGACATGGGCAGGGAGATGAAGACAGAGGAGACATGGACAGAGGAGGAAACGTCTTGACAAGAGACGTCAACGTCTTGGAGCATCTAAAACATACAAGAGCTCATTCCAACCCTCCACCACTGCCCAGAATGCTGAACAGAACACCACTGAGACAGGAGGGATGGAGAGAAAAGTCTGGAAGAGAGAGAGAGAGAAGAGAGAGAGAGAGACGAGAGGAGGAAGAGAGGAGAGAGAGGGAGAGAGGCGAGAGAGAGAGAGAGGAGGAGAGAGAGAGAGGAGAGAGAGAGAGATGAGAGAGCGAGGAGAGAGAGAGAAGAGAGAGCGAGAGAGAGAGAGAGAGAAAGTAGGACAGGAAGGAGTACACGGTAATGAGAATAGCATGTGGTCCCTGGGTGGCTGTCGAAAACACTTTCCCACTTTCCCAAACCCCTCTCCTCCTTTCCTCCTTTCCTCTCCTCCTCTCCAAGACCTGATCCATCCACCAGACATAGAGACAGAGAGGGGAAGCAAGAGGGATTAAAGGAGTACTTACAGTACAACAAAACAAAGGGGGGAAAAGAAAGAGTAGTGAAAGGGAAGTTTCAACCCCCTCTCCCCCTCTTGAGGAGCTCCCGCCTCCCACTTACCTTCATCCCTCCCTCCATCCCTTTATCTGCATGTCTAGTTTAAACTCTCCCTCCATTTTGTGAACGCCAGCCACATCTGTGAGACATACGCCCTGAGAGCAAGGCCTTGTGGGTCATTCTCAGCCCACCAACAAGGAGGAGGGCCTTGCTTCCTATGGGGCCCTCACATACATGTGCAGGTCAGACTCAGTCACCGCTCATAGCTCCCACGACTAGAGAGCTGCTTTTGTTTTAAGAGGAAATGAGAGAAGCAGCCTGCTGAGTTTATTGAAACCATCATGATCAACCATCATGTCTGAATTAAGTCTTAGCATGTTAGTTGTTTTAGCAGAGTGGGTTTCTAACTACAAAGGAAGAATCTGAGAGTGTGGAGCTAAAGTTATGGTGTACTACTAAACTAGCATATTGTTGGGATATATTTGCTCATTTAGACTGAGACTGAGGTTAGTAAATTCTGCAGTTGAGACGTAAAATAGTCCTATAGCTTTGTACACCTCTCCATTTATTTTCTAAGTTGACAATTTAAGGAACTCCAGACTAATAACTCCTAGTCTGGGAAGGGAAGATCTTTCCAGAACATTTGGATCAGACAGTAAAAGAGAAGCTAGGGCCGGGGCTGTGGTTGCTGTGGTTTTATAGCACCTCACAGGCCCTAACCCCCTCCCCTAGTAATGGAACCCAGGCTGTGGTCACCGTGGAAACTCAGCATTAGAGCGTCTCTGTCTCAGCCAATCAGAGGGCTCGGAGGCTAAGGTGCCTTGACAGGGGAGCAGTGGGAAGGTTCTGGAGCCTGAGGTAAGGAAGGAGCAGAAAGACACTGGAGAGAGAGAGAGGTAGTGAGGGAAGGAGGGAGGAAAGGAAAGAGAGGAGCGGAAGGAGCTCTGGTCACTGATGGAAAAGTCTGGTTCTCATCATCAGATCTTTTCTATTTTCTCCACTTTCTCTCTCTCCTCCTCATTGTCTGTCAATCTCTCTTTTTCTATCTCTATCTGTTTCTCTTTTTCACTCAGTAAAGACAGAAAGACAGGCGTATAATAACTTCATGCGGTGTCCACATGTCTTGGCGGTGCATTCCAGAGGAATTATCTTTGGCTCAGAGGGAGAGAGGCAGCAGCCGCTTGAGTTTGAGTGGCAGATGCTTTGAGAGCAGAGCCGAGCATGATACGAAGAAGAAGAGGAAGATGAGCGCAGGCTACAGTAACAGTTGCCAACTTGCCACTGGTGCATTCCTCTACCGCTCAGCTGCAGAGACCTGGGGAGGAGGAAGAGAGGGGAGGAGGAAGAGAGTCCTCAGACAACCGTTTGGAGCAGGCTAGCTAAACGCATCTCATCTCAGCAGCACAGGGAATGGCAACATCGGAGCGCTCGCTCATGAGAAGAATGATGAGACGTACATTTACATAATTTAGCAGACGTTCTTATCCAGAGCGACTTACAGGAGCAATTAGGGTTAAGTGCCTTGCTCAAGGGTACATAGACAGATTTTTCACCTAATCGGTGGCTCAGGGATTCGAACCAGTGACCTTTCAGGCACATTTACATTTTAGTCAATTAGCAGGCGTTCTTATAAAGAGCAACTTACAGTAGTGAGTGCATACATTTTCGTACTTTTCGTACTGGCCAAATGCTCTTAACCGGTAGGCTACCTGCCGCGCAGACTGACAGAATAGTTTTGGGGTGACAATAAGGTGAGAAAGAGAGAGGCTGGGTTGAATCATTACTTATTAACAAAAAAACACAGAATTCTTTCTATTCTAAATTTGAAACACTCCTGAAAGGGCACTGTTACACGACCAGGGCTGAAAGTCATTCCCATTAGCTTGGTGTGGAGTTAGCTCTCAGCTCTGCTGTGTTTATGAACTGTCTCCTCTCCTCCTTAACTCTAGGGACCTTTCACCCGGCTGTTACTGTGGGGACTGACATGGCCTCAGAGAACTTTCACCATGAGAGGGATCCAACTAGTGGCAAGAGGGAGGGGAGGAGAGGAAAAGGAGGAAGGAAAGCGGAAGAGAGAAAGAAAAGGACAACATTTTCGGATGTCAGAGCCCATTCTCCTGTCTCTCTTTGGCTGTTAATAGCCATGGTTATGACAGGCTCCTGTGTCTAGGAGGAATGTCCTCCTTCCTGACCCCCTGATGCCCACACTGGGCCACCATGGGACTGGATGACCCCTACTGCAGACTGTACGCACAGGTGTGTGTGTGTGTGGGCATGTGTGTGTGTGTGTGTGTTTTTGTTTAACTATCCTTGTGGGTACCAGAAGTCCACACAATGACAGTAAAACAAGGAAAATCCGGACAAGTGGGGACATTTTGCCAGCCCCCACGAGGAAAAATGCTATTTTAGGCTTAGGGGTTAGGTTTAGGGTTAGGGTTACAATTAGAGGTAGGGTTAGAATGAAGGTTAGGGTTAGGGGTTACGGTTAGGTTTACATTTTGGGTTAGGGGTTTGGGGTTAAGGTTAGGCTTAGAGTTAAGGTTAGGGTTATGGTTAGGTTAAGGGTTAAGGTTAGGGTTAAGGTTAGATTTAGGGTTAGGGTTAGGGTTTAGGGAAAATAGGATTTTGTATGGGAATCAATTCTTTGGTCCCCACAAGGATAGCAATACAAAACTGTGTGTGTGTGTGTGTTTGTGAGAAAGAGAGAAAGAGAGAAAAAGAGAAAGAGAGAAAGAGAGAAAAAGAGAAAGAGAAAAAGAGAAAAAGAGAGAGAGAGACTAGAACTACCATATACATTTTTTTTCACCTTTATTTAACCAGGTAAGCCAGTTGAGTACAAGTTCTCATTTACAACTGCGACCTGGCCAAGATAAAGCAAAGCAGTGCGATAAAAACACAACACAGAGTTACATATGGGGTAAAACAAAACATAAAGTCAAAAATACAACAGAATATATATATATACAGTGTATGCAATAAATAGGCCATAGTGCAAAATAATTACAATTAGTATTAACACTGGAATGATAGATGTGCAAGAGATGATGTGCAAATAGAGATGCTGGGGTGACCTACTATAAAGCAAATGATTGGTTCCCAACGCTGTCTAAAATTGGGTATTTTTCCACACCATGAGGATAACTGGTGCCAGGCCTGCCAGTAAGTGTGTGTGACAGAATGTGTGTGTGAACGTGTCTGAGAGAGAGAGAGGGTGGTGGTGGGAATGGTAACAGTAGCAGTAGTGGAGCCAGTGGCAGACAGGCTGGTTTACCCTGGCAGTGCCACCTACCTACACCGTCAGACAGGAAAAGTCTGTAAAAGTCTGGGAATGCCAGGCCTCAAAAACAGAGGCTCTCTGAGATTACTTCCTGACCCCCCAAACAGCCAATCTGATGACTCCCAGACACCCCTATCAGCCAATCAGATGCTGTGGATGACTTACATCCTGTTTCAGCATCCAATCAGTGTGATGGGTAATTCATTAGTAAAGTAAATGTAAAAGTAATAGTAAAATACCATTATATTTTAGCAATCAACAATTAGGACAATTTAATTGGTGAATAGCCTGGTTATAATTTGGTCATACTAGCACAGATCAGCTGGATAAGTGCTGTAGCTAATAGCTGTGTTCAGTAGTTACTGGTCAAAGAGGGGAGGTCAGTTTGGTTTGCCACTGTGTCTCCGGTTTCGCTGTGCTGGCATTCCTCTGTGTCTAACTCCACACATCTGCTATGCACTCATTCCCCTTTCCATCTCAGTTTTTTCACCCTTCCACCAAACCATACAGCACTTCTGAGAAATAATCAAAGCTCTGACCCAGGGGGCAGAATGAGGGCGCCTGGGCAGTTATTAGCTCTGCCAGCTGTCAGTCAGTGTGCTCTGCATCCAGATAGGTCAGCTTGTAAAAGTGAGATAATGAGTCTACCTTTCATCACTGGCTTTAAGACCCCTCTTCAACATGAAAGGAGCAACATTCCACATGTATTGACTAAGGGAATGTACATAATAGAAGATGATGATGTGTGTGTGTGTGTGTGTGTGTGTGTGTGTGTGTGTGTGTGTGTGTGTGTGTGTGTGTGTGTGTGTGTGTGTGTGTGTGTGTGTGAGAGAGAGAGAGAGAGAGAGAGAGATAGATATAGAGAGAGAGAGAGAGAGCGAGAGAGAGGAGAGGATAGAGAGAGAGAGAGAGAGAGAGAGAGAGAGAGAGTGAGAGAGAGAGAGAGAGGAGAGAGAGAGAGAGAGAGAGGAGAGAGAGAGAGAGAGAGAGAGAGAGGAGAGAGAGAGAGAGAGAGGGGGGGGGGGAGGGGGAGGGGGAGGTAGGTGGGTCCAGTTTAAAGATTAGACAGTAATGAACAGCATGTCATCTCTAAAAAGAAAAAGGGAAAGGTAGAACATCTGTATTAATCAATCGGACTCCAGTCAGATAGACAGAAAGACTGACATCAGTGGCGCAGAATGATGACATGGCTTCCCTCAGCTTGTCAATTATCCATTGCATCTTCTCTTTGAGCTGTATGGCTACCACTACTTTCTCTTTGTGTATGGTTACCACTCCTTTTTTCTCCTCCAAACTGGGGAGTCAGGTAGTGAAGAAGGTGGGAAGAAGACGAGAAAGAGGAGAGGGAAGAATTGAGAGGAGAGGAGACCACCCAGCTACTACAGCCAAGACATAGCCAACCACTGTGAGATAAAAGTCACTGTGTGGGAGTGGTGGTGGGACTACATCACTCTTTCCTTACAGTTTGTAGCCCACTGATGTTGCCAATTGTTCACCCTGGCTAACCCTACTGAGTGTGAGAGAGAGGCACCTACAGTTAGGGTTGCAAAGGGAGGGTATATTAGGGGAGAGTGGGGCCACCCTTGTTTCTAGGAAACCATACACAAAATGTATAATTTGACCAAATATTTAGGAAGATGTCATAATTTCATATAGTCTGTGAAGGAAGAAACCACATGGAAAAAGTGGTAAGCAAGTTAGGTCCAAAAAATGGATTTTCACCAAGCCAAATTAATTTATTGTGTTAGAGATATCATGATTATTGTATCTAAATCAAAGTAGATAATTTTAAGAATGTTCTATACATCAGTTGTGGTCTCTATAAGCTTCAATATGAGGTCCTAAACCTAGCATGAAAGTGGATCTTTGTAGCTGTGCGGGCTAATATAGTCAAAATGTTTGCCTTGGGGTAAGTTTAACCAATGGCAATGGGGTAATTTGAGACAATGGTTGGAACAATGGCACGTTCAAGTTGCGCAGTTTCACTGGGATCAATGCATTATCGCTGGGATATGAGGTAACAACAGGGCCTATGTTAAAAGTGTTTTATAAAATACACAGTGTTTGTTAGGTGTTAAGCCTGTGTTAAACAATGCTTAAATGATTAAAATACAAAAAAGCAATTGTGATTGTGTTGAATTGTGTTTGGGAAATAAAGATAAACATGGTGGTAATATTTAATTCAGTACATACATTTGTAGGCGGCTTAACTTACCCTGTCCCGCGGCTCAATTTACCCCATACCTGGGATATGTTGTGCCAAGAGACCACTTTTTTGGGGACAAACTATGTTTTAAAAACTGTAATGTTTACATGAATTCTGATTATTTCCAGGGACAAACAACATCCTGAAATATATTTAGATATCGTTGTTAGAAATAATACTATATTTCCCTTGATGGAGTGATGCTTAATGTAAAAAATGGCTCAACTTATCCTACTCTCCCCTACTGGAAACTTTACCAGTAAACTACCAGAATTGTTTTAACAATTTAAAGAGTTTATGTAATTTATCACATGACATCTAGTGGCCCTTTTGGGTACTTCAGATTATCACAGGCGTCTGTAATTATCTCTGGCCCTGTGTGTGGTCTTATCGCATGTAAAATATATAACATAATCAAATAAGATGATTTAAACAAAATAATTACAAAGCTGTAAAACATTATCCTAAATATAAACCATCAACTTAGTGAATACCATTGGTGTTAATATGAGGGTTTCAGCAAGAAATATCCTTTATATTTGTTTTTACACACTTTTATTTATTTTACTATGTCAATATGTCTTTATTGTAAATGTGTTGGTGCCAAAATGGTGACAGTTGTGAAAAAAGTAAATAGTTGGAAGAGTTGCAGTGTTAATTCAAAATAATGCCATTGTTGATTAGATGCTTTTTTCATTAATTAGGCTATTTTCTCTTGAACCATATGGTCTATCCAATAGAAACTCATGGACAATATGGACACAGATATAAAAAAAGGAATACTATATATGAATATTGTTTTATTTTTTATTCAAGTATAAATTACCAAAGTTGCCATAGATACTCGCTAATGTTCAGTCTTTGGTTAACAAGATCGACGAAATCCGGGCAAGGATTTCTTTCCAGAGAGACATCAAGGCCTGTAACATACTTTGTTTCACGGAAACATGGCTCTCTTGGGATATTCTGTCAAAATCGGTCCAGCCAGAGTTCATCGCGCAGACAGGATTAAATATCTCTCCGGGAAGAAGAAGGGCGGAGGTGTGTGTTTCATGATTAACGACTCATGGTGTAATTGTAGTAACATACAGGAACTCGAGTCCTTCTGTTCACCCGACCTAGAATATCTCACAATCAAATTCCGACCGTATTATCTCCCAAGATAATTTTATTCGGTTATAGGCACGGCCGTGTATATCCCCCCTCAAGCCGATACCATGACGGCCCTCAAAGAACTTCACTGGACTTTATGCAAACTGAAAACCACTTATCCTGAGGCTGCATTTATTGTATCTGGGGATTTTAACAAAGCAAATTTGAGGACTAGGCTGACAAAGTTCTATCAACATATCGACTGTTGTACTCGCGCTGCCAAAACCCTCGACCATTGCTATTCGAACTTCCGGGATGGTTATAAGGCCCTCCCCCGCCCTCCTTTTGGCAAATCTGACCACGACTCCATTTTGCTCCTCCCTTCCTATAGGCAGAAACTCAAACAGGAAATACCCGTGCTAAGGACTATTCAACGCTGGTCTGACCAATCGGAATCCACGGTTCAAGATTGTTTTGATCACGCGGACTGGGATATGTTCCGGGTAGCTTCCGAAAATAATTTAGACGAATACACTGAAACGGTGACTGAGTTTATCAGGAAGTGTATAGGTGATGTTGTGCCCACTGTGACTATTAAAACCTACCCTAACCAGAAACTGTGGATAGATGGCAGCATTCGCGGCAATCTGAAAGCGCGAACCACCGCATTCAACCATGGCAAGGTGACTGGGAATATGGCAGAATACAAACAGTGTAGCTACTCACTCCGCAAGGCAATTAAACTGGCAAAACATCAGTATAGAGATAATTCAACGGCTCAGACACGAGACGTATGTGGCAGGGTCTACAGACAATCATGGACTACAAAAGGAAAACCAGCCACGTCGCCGACACCGACGTCTCGCTTCCAGACAAGCTAAACACCTTCTTCGCCCGCTTTGAGAATAACACAGTGCCACTGACGAGGCCCACTACCAAGGACTGTGGCCTCTCCTTCTCCGTGGCCGACGTGATTAAGACATTTAAGCATCCCTAGCCGCGTCCTCAGAGCATGCGCAGACCAGTTGGCTGGTGTGTTTATGGACATATTCAATCTCTCCCTTTCCCAGTCTGCTGTTACCACATGCTTCAAGATGGCCACCATTGTTCCTGTACCCAAGAAAGCAAAGGTAACTGAGCCATGTGGCACTCACCTCTGTCATCACGAAGTGCTTTGAGAGACTAGTCAAGGATCATATCACCTCTACCTTACCTGTCACCCTAGACCCACTTCAATTTGCTTACCTCCCCAATAGATCCACAGACGATGCAATCGCCATCACACTGCACACTGCCCTATCCCATCTGGACAAGAGGAATACCTACGTAAGAATGATGTTCATTGACTATAGCTCAGCATTCAACACCATAGTACCCTCCAAGCTCATTATCAAGCTCGAGGCCCTGGGTCTGAACCCCGCCCTGTGCAACTGGGTCCTGGACTTCCTGACGGGCCGCCACCAGGTGGTGAAGGTAGGAAACAACATCTCCACTTCGCTGATCCTCAACACTGGGGCCCCACAGTGGTGCGTGCTCAGCCCCCTCCTGTACTCCCTGTTCACCCATGACTGCGTGGCCAAGCACGCCTCCAACTCAATCATCAAGTTTGCAGACGACACAACAGTAGTAGGCTTGATTACCAACAATGACGAGACTGCCTACAGGGAGGAGGTGAGGGCTCTGGGAGTGTGGTGCCAGGAAAATAACCTTTCACTCAACGTCAACAAAACAAAGGAGATGATCGTGGACTTCAGGAAACAGCAGAGGGTGCTCCCCCCTATCCACATCGACAGGACCGCAGTGGAGAAGGTGGAAAGCTTCAAGTTCCTTGGTGTACACATCCCCGAAAAACTGAAATGGTCCACCCACGCAGACAGTGTGGTGAAGAAGGCGCAACAGAGCCTCTTCAACCTCAGGAGGATGAAGAAATGTGGCTTGGCACCTAAAACCCTCACAAACTTTTACAGATGCACAACATACAGCACCCAATGTCACAGGAAGGCCAAATAGATCATCAAGGACATCAACCACCCGAGCCACTGCCTGTTCAGCCCGCTATCATCCAGAAGGCAAGGTCAGTACAGGTGCATCAAAGCTGGAACCGAGAGAATGAAAAACAGCTTCTATCTCAAGGCCATCAGACAGTTAAATAGCCATCACTAGCACATTAGAGGCTGCTGCTGCCTATTGAAATCACTGGCCACTTTAAGAAATGGAACACTAGTCACTTTAATAATGTTTACAGTCACTTTAATAATGTTTACATATCTTGCACTACTCATCTCATATGTATATACTGCATTCTATTCTATAATATTCTACTGTATCTTAGTCCATGCCGCTCTGTCATTGCTTGTCCATATATGTATATTTTCTTAAATTCCATTCCTTAATAGTTTTGTGTGTATTAGGTATATGTTGTGAAATTGTTAGATATTACTGCACTGTCGGAGCTAGAAGCACAAGCATTTTGCTACACCCGCTATAACATCTGCTAAACATGTGTATGTGACAAATAACATTTGATTTGATTTGATTTGATTTGATTGCCATAGATTACCTTTTAATTACCAAAATTGCTGAAGATTCCAGTAACTTTCATAAATTACTGGTAGATTTGAAACCCTACCTACAGTCTAACCAGTAGAGGTATGTACATGTTGAGAAAGCCAACTGTCCTGTTGGTCTGTTCTTCTAGTCTATCTATAATCCCTGATGAGAACATGGGAAATCACCACAGTACAGAAGCTCTCTGTTTCAGCCCCTCCATCTTCTAATAATGAATCATTTCTTCCACATGTTTACTTAATGATAGCATGTCTACACTCGCTCTTTTCCAGCTCACAGCTCAACATCGTGAAATGTGGGTATGAGACAACATGTTCCCTAATCAAAATGTGTTGTTGATTACATGATTTGGATGATCTGTAATAGTGATCAGTACGCATGTGCACGTGTGTGTGTGTGCATGGGTGTTCGGGGATGTAGGAGGATGTTACAGTCTCAATAAATCAGGCTTAGAGCCTAAGCTTAGTAGCACAGAGAGAAGGAACTTGACCAAGTTATCTCACTCCTGCCTTCTGGAAGATATTAGCTGTACACTCTCTCTCTATGAAATAACACATATGGAATCATGTCGTAACCAAAAAAGTGTTAAACAAATCAAAATATATTTTATATTTGAGATTCTTCAAAGTAGCCACTCTTTGCCTTGATGACAGCTTTGCACACTCTTGGCATTCTCTCAACCAGCTTCATGAGGTACTCACCTGTAATGCATTTCAATTAACAGGTGTGCCTTTTTGAAAGTTAATTTGTGGAATTTCTTTCCTTCTTAATGCGTTTGAGCCAATCAGTTGTGTTGTGACAAGGTAGTGGTGGCATTCAAAAGATTGCCCTATTTGGTAAAAGACCAACTCCATATTATGGCAAAAACAACTCAAATAAGCAAATAGAAACGACAGTCCTTTAAGACATGAAGGTCAGTCAATACAGAACATTTAAAGAACATTGAAAGTTTCTTTAAGTGCAGTCGCAAAAACCATCAAGTGCTATGATGAAACTGGCTCTCATGAGGACCGCCACAGGAAAGGAAGACCCAAAGTTACCTCTGCTGCAGAGGATACGTTTATTAGAGTTACCAGCCTAAGAAATTGCAGCCCAAATAAATGCTTCACAGAGTTCAATTAACAGACACAGCTCAACATCCACTGTTCAGATGAGACTGCGTGAATTAGGTCTTCATGGTCGAATTGCTGCAAGAAACCACTACTAAAGCATTCCAGGTGAAGCTGGTTGAAAGAATGCCAAGAGTGTGCAAAGCTGTCATCAAGGCAAAGAGTGGCTACTTTGAAGAATATAAAATATAAAATATATTTTGATTTGTTAAACATTTTTCGGGTTACTACATGATTCCATATGTGTTATTTCATAGTTTTAATGTCTTCACTATTATTCTACAATGTAGAAAATAGTAAAAATTGAGAAAAACCCTGGAATGAATAGGTGTCCAAACGTTTGACTGGTACTGTATACAGTTCACACTGAAAGTATTCAGACCCCTTGACTTTTTCCACATTTTGTGATGTTACAGCCTTTTTCTAAAATGGATTAAATTGTTTTTTCCCCCCTCATCAATCTACACACTATACCCCATAATGACTAAGCAAAAACAGGTTTTTAGAAATGTTCTACGTAAGTATTCAGACCCTTTACTCAGTACTTTGTTGAAGCACCTTTGGCAGCGATTACAGCCTCTATTCTTCTTGGGTATGACGCTAAAAGCTTCGCACACCTGTATTTGGGGAGTTTCTCCCATTCTTCTCTGCAGATCCTCTCAAGCTCTGTCAGGTTGGATGGGGAGCGTGGCTGCACAGCTATTTTCAGGTCTCTCCAGAGATGTTAGATCGGGTTCAAGTCCAGGCTCTGGCTGGGCCACTCAAGGACATTCAGAGACTTGTCCCGAGCCACTCCTGCATTGTCTTGGCTGTGTGCTAAGGGTCGTTGTCCTGTTGGAAGGTAAACATTCGTCCAAGTCTGAGGTCCTGAGCAGGTTTGGAGCAGGTTTTCATCAAGGATCTCTCTGTACTTTGCTCCATTCATCTTTCCCTTCATCCTGACTAGTCTCTCAGTCCCTGCCGCTGAAAAATCAATCAATCAATTTTATTTTATATAGCCCTTCTTACATCAGCTAATATCTCGAAGTGCTGTACAGAAACCCAGCCTAAAACCCCAAACAGCTAGTAATGCAGGTGTAGAAGCACGGTGGCTAGGAAAAACTCCCTAGAAAGGCAAAACCTAGGAAGAAACCTAGAGAGGAACCAGGCTATGAGGGGTGGCCAGTCCTCTTCTGGCTGTGCCGGGTGGAGATTATAACAGAACCATGCCAAGATGTTCAAAAATGTTCATAAGTGACAAGCATGGTCAAATAATAATCAGGAATAAATCTCAGTTGGCTTTTCATAGCCGATCATTAGAGTTTAAAACAGCAGGTCTGGGACAGGTAGGGGTTCCATAACCGCAGGCAGAACAGTTTAAACTGGAATAGCAGCAAGGCCAGGCGGACTGGGGACAGCAAGGAGTCACCACGGCCGGTAGTCCCGACGTATGGTCCTAGGGCTCAGGTCTCTCAGTTGGCTTTTCATAGCCGATCATTTAGAGTTGAAAACAGCAGGTCTGGGACAGGTAGGGGTTTCGTAGCCGCAGGCAGAACAGTTGAAACTGGAATAGCAGCAAGGCCAGGCGGACTGGGGACAGCAAGGTGTCATCATGCCCGGTAGTCCTGACGTATGGTCCTAGGGCTCAGGTTCTCAGAGAGAAAGAGAGAACGAGAGAATTAGAGAGAGCATACTTAAATTCACACAGGACACTGGATAAGACAGGAGAAGTACTCCAGGTATAACCAACTAACCCCAGCCCCCCGACACATAAACTACTGCAGCATAAATACTGGAGGCTGAGACAGGAGCGGTCCGGAGACACTGTGGCCCCATCCGAAGAAACCCCCGGACAGGGCCAAACAGGAAGGATATAACCCCACCCACTCCGCCAAAGCACAGCCCCCGCACCACTAGAGGGATATCCCCAACCACCAACTTACAATCCTGAGACAAGGCCGAGTATAGCCCACAGAGGTCTCCACCACAGCACAAACCAAGGGGGGGGGGGCGCCAACCCAGACAGGAAGATCACGTCAGTAACTCAACCCACTCAAGTGACGCACCCCCCCCAGGGACGGCATGAAAGAGCACCAGCAAGCCAGTGACTCAGCCCCTGCAACAGGGTTAGAGGCAGAGAACCCCAGTGGAGAGGGGAACCGGCCCGGCAGAGACAGCAAGGGCTGTTCGTTGCTCCAGCCTTTCCGTTCACCTTCACACTCCTGGGCCAGACTACACTCAATCATATGACCTACTGAAGAGATAAGTCTTCAGTAAAGACTTAAAGGTTGAGACCGAGTCTGCGTCTCTCACATGGGTAGGCAGACTGTTCCATAAAAATGGAGATCTATAGGAGAAAGCCCTGCCTCCCGCTGTTTGCTTAGAAATTCTAGGGACAATTAGGAGGCCTGCGTCTTGTGACCGTAGCGTACGTATTGGTATGTACGGCAGGACCAACTCGGAAAGATAGGTAGGAGCAAGCCCATGTAACGCTTTATAGGTTAACAGTAAAACCTTGAAATCAGCCCTTGCCTTAACAGGAAGCCAGTGTAGGGAAGCTAGCACTGGAGTAATATGATCAAATTTCTTGGTTCTAGTCAGGATTCTAGCAGCCGTATTTAGCACTAACTGAAGTTTATTTAGTGCTTTATCCGGGTAGCCGGAAAATAGAGCATTGCAGTAGTCTAACCACAGCATGATGTTGCCACCAAAAACATCCCCACAGCATGATGTTGCCACCACCATGCTTCACAGTAGGGATGGTGCCAGGTTTCCTCCAGACGTGACGCTTGGCATTCAGGCCAAAGAGTTCAATCTTGGTTTCATCAGACCAGAGAATCTTGTTTCTCATGTTCTGAGAGTCTTTAGGTGCCTTTTGGCAAACTCCAAGCGGGCTGTCATGTGCCTTTTACTGAGGAGTGGCTTCCGTCTGGCCACTCTACCGTAAAAGCCTGATTGGTGGAGTGCTGCAGAGATGCTTGTCCTTCTGGAAGGTTCTCACATCTCCAAAGAGGAACTCTGGAGCTCTATCAGAGTGACCATCTGGTTCTTGGTCACCTCCCTGACCAAAGCCCTTCTCCTCCGACTGCTCAGTTTGGCCTGGAGGCCAGCTCTAGGAAGAGTCTTGGTGATTCCATACTTCTTCCATTTAAGAATGATGGAGGCCACTGTGTTCTTGGGGACCTTTAATGCTGCAGAAATGTTTTAGTACCCTTCCCCAGATCTGTGCCTCGACACAATCCTGTCTCGGAGCTCTACAGATAATTCCTTCGACCTCATGGCTTGGTTTTTGCTCTGACATGCACTGTCAACTGTGGGACCTTATATAGACATGTGTGTGCCTTTTTAAATCATGTCCAATCAATTGAATTTACCACAGGTGGACTCCAATCAACTTGTAGAAACATCTCAAGGATGATCAATGGAAACAGGATGCACCTGATCTCAATTTAGAGCCTTATAGCAAAGGGTCTGAATACTTACGTAAATAAGATATTTATGTTTTTCTAAAAACCTGTTTTTGTTTTGTCATTATGGGGTATTGTGTGTAGATTGATGAGGAAAATGTTGTATTTCATCTATTGTAACGTAACAAAATGTGGAAAATGTCAAGGGGTCAAAATACTTTCCGAAGGCACTGTATATCTATGTTGAGGTGAATGACTGGACCCAAATATGGACCACATCATAGACCTCTGCTAGTTATTAAACCACTCCGAACCGCAGGGCTTGAGATCTTACATTTCTTAAAATGTTGGAATCTTAAAATTCTGGAATGTATTTTTCAAAGGTTCTACCATGATTCCGATGTTGTTTAGTTTGTTCTATACTGAACAAAATTATAAATGCAATATGCAACAATTTTACTGAGTTACAGTTCATATAATGAAATCAGTCAATCGAAATAAATTAATTAGCCCCTAATCTATGGATTTCACATGACTGGGCAGGGGCGCAGCCATGGGTGGGCCTGGAAGGGCATAGGCCCACCCACTTGGGAGCCAGGTACACCCACTGGGGAGCCAGGCCCCGCCAATCAGAATAATTTTTTCCCCACAAATGGGCTTTATTACAGACATAAATATTCCTCAGTTTCATCAGCTGTCCGAGTGGTTGGTCTCAGACAATCTCGCACGTGAAGAAACCGGATGTGGAGGTCCTGGGCTGGCGTGAATACGGTCTGCGGTTGTGATGCTGGTTGGACGTACTGCCAAATTCTCTAAAACAACGTTGGAGGCAGCTTATTGTAGAGAATTGAACATTTAATTATCTGGCAGAAGCTCTGGTGGACATTCCTGCAGTCAGCATGCCAATTGCATGCTCCCTCAAAACTTGAGACATTTGTGGCATTGTGTTGTGTGACAAAACTGCACATTTTAGAGTGGCCTTTTATTATCCTCAGCACAAGGTGCACCTGTGTAATGATCATGCTGTTTAATCAGCTTCTTGATATGCCACACCTATCAAGTGGATGGATTATCTTGGCAAAGGAGAAATTCTCACTAACAGGGATGTATGGAACATTTCTGGGATGTTTTATTTCAGCTCATGAAACACTTTACATGTTGCGTTTATATTTTTGTCAAGTTGAATATTGAGAATGTTCTACAACAGAGTTGTGGTTGGTCCTTCCTAGAGTGTTGCTTGAGACTATTTCATTAGGCTGTAAGTAAACAGAACAGAAGCCCAAGTTTAAGATTTTAGCCTCTATATTGATGTCAAAGTAAACAGGACTTGTTTGGAGAGCATTGTGTCTCAGCTCTGCATTAAGCCTTTAAGAAAACCCTTGATGTGGATCAAACATCCGCTTGGCCAAGCCTCCTCCAGGCCGCCCAAAGAAATGCTGTGATCAGGGAGACATTCTTCACACACTTGGCTGTCAACCAACTGAATTTTCAGTCAACTTAACTCACAAGAATGGGATTTGAGGATTTTCTCTCTCTACCCCCTACTGCCGAATCCGATCCCCCTCTCTCACACACACACTTGTTTAGAGCTTGCAAGAAAGGCATTTCACTGTACTTGTGCATGTGACATTAAAAACGTTTTCAACTCTTTCCCTTGCTCAACCACTTTAAACTCTTGGGAATTTCTGATAACACATTCCAGATAAATTGGGCTTCTGTCTGGGTAACACATTTTGACAGTTGCATAAATAAATATGCCGGCCTTACCCAGAATGCAATAGAAAGAGATGTTGGCTAGCTAGTACATCTCTCTGAGCGACAGTAACCAGGAAGAAAAGATAAAACAGACTAAACAAAAATACATAATAATGAAAAAGCAGCAGTGAAAGAGAGAGAGAGGGTATAAGACAATGAGAAAGAAAGAGGAGAGGGGAGAAAGAGAGGGAGAAAGAAAGAAAGACAGAGAAAAAGAGTGCTGCTGTGCACCGCAGAACAGTAAGCCAGAGCCACGTCAGCACAATAGAAGGGGAGGAAGAGTGGATCCCCCTCCTCCCTCCCCTCCCTCCATCTCCGTCTGCCTCTCTCTCCATCCTGCCACCACTTCCAGACCTATGAATTTTACTGGAGTTTGATTTCCACTGAATCTGAGCCTGAGGTTTCCAAAATGGAAGAATTAGTATGCCTCTATGACTGTCTGCTCATTTTCTTCTTTCCTTTTTCAGTGTGTCTGAATTAGAAACAGAACGAGCTCCATCTTTATTCAATGCAGATGTGCACAGATGGAACAGACGTGAGGAGGATTGTAAAGAAAAATTGAGAGAGAGAGAGAGAGAGAGAGAGAGAGAGAGAGAGAGAGAGAGCGAGAGAGTCTGTGTGTGTTATGAGCAGAGGAGGCTGGTGGGAGGAGCTATAGGAGGTCGGGTTCATTGTAATGGCTGGAATGGAATACATGGAATGAAGTCAAACATGTGGTTTCCGTATGTTTGATACCGTTCCATTTATTCTATTCCAGCCATTACAATGAACCCGTCCTCCTATAGCTCTTCCCACCAGCCTCCTCTGGTTATGAGGTATGCTGTTATGCTGAGCTGATCTTGGACATTGGAGTATAAATATAAGTCACTCAACAATGATCGAAAGGCATTTCACTGTAGTTGTGCACGTGACATTAAAACTTGAAGCTTGAAACTTGGCACCAGAACTGTTCATGTAAGGCCAAAAGGCTTGAAACAACCACAACCTGACAGGTCTATAGAGTTTGGCTAAAATTCAATCCAAACACTCCAACAGAGCTAATGCTTACTGAAGTGAATTATGTTGCATGAAGGATTGAGAGATCATGGGAGAGGTGGCGGTGGGAGACTGTTTGTGAGCATGGTGTGTGTGTGTGTGTGTGTGTGTGTGTGTGTGTGTTTCTAGTTTTAATGTCACATGCACAAGTACAGTGAAATGCCTTTCTTGCTAACTCAAAACCCAACAATACAATAATCAATAACAATGTATTACTAGAAAAAAAGCACACGAGAAATAAGAATAGGAAATATGAAATACCCATTAAAGTAAGTAAGTAAGTAAGCATACTATATACAGGAAATATGTGTTTCTGAAAAGCAAAGAATATTGCAATTCCGAGAGTCCCATTGGTAGCGAATCTGCGATCGGAGGTCATCCATCTTATTATCAAGTGACTGTACATTCGCCAGTAGAATGGAGGGAAGAGGTGGCCAGTTTTCCCTTTGCCTTAATCTCACCAGGACCCCCCCTCTCTTTTCTCTGTAACGCCGGCACTTCCTCTTGGGTAGCCCAAATATTGGGTTGGAATTACAGAGAGAGCCCAGGGCAGATGAGTCGAAGTAGAAGCCGGAATTGAGGTAAGTACCTGCCGATCTGATGTTCAAGAGTTCTTGTCGGTTGTAAGAAATAATAGCTGATACATTATGTGAAAATAGACTAAAAATTTACGACAAAAGAATCACAAAATAGCGAAGTTGGGTCGGCGCTTGCAAAACAGCAGCCATACAGTACGGCGCCATCTTTGATGTCTATGTGTGTGTGGAGGTCTATAGTGGGAGGTGAGTCTGCACATTTGGCCCACCCAATCTGCAGTGCTGTAAACTATCATGTGATCATGATGCAATTGCCAATAAAACAGATAGCTAGTTGGAAGGGGAGCAGGGCGTGTGAGGGGATGGGAGGAATGGCACAGGTGGGAGGAAAAGTCAGGGACTTCTCAGGCAGGTCAGAACACTACACCAGTGTTCTACAGTAGTTTTTTTTTTTTTATTGAGCAGCTAATAGGAACATACTTAGTAGAGGAGAGGCCACAAGCAGCCAATAAGAACAAACTTAGCTAGGTAGTATCTTTAGCATCCCACTAACACGAGTCAGGATAGGAGGAATCTTAAAAGCTAAAAGCATTAGATGATATTTCAGTAAACAAGGTAATCTGTACATTGGAGTAGTAGAGGACGGGACGATCAGAGGAGATACAGTAAGTGAGGAAGACATGAAAGAAAGGAACAGGTATCATTTCAGTTTAGAGGTCAAAGGAGATCAACCAATCAGTGAATGGTCATGATCAGGTACTTACCAGGGTACAACTGTTTGGTGGGGGCACTGAGCTGGGCTTCTTTGGATACTCTGTAGGCCACATCGGCTCCTTTTGTTGACTTCCTATGCGCGCAGAAACCTGTCGTTTTCGTAACGCCGTCAGGTAAACTGGGAAAATCTAAAATCTTCAAGAGGTCCGCTGGCTCCACTACAGAGGGAAAGAGGGAGAGAAAGATTGTAGATTAGACTCATATAAAGACACTCATTTCAAATGCAGACTCGCATCTCTCAATAATCACAATAAAGTCTACCACAGCACAAAGCCATGCCACCCACAGTGTTAAAAGCCCCCCACAACAGGAGAGACAGTCAGTATCCACTCCAAGTAACCCAATTATTCAGACTGTAGACAGATAAACAGATCCTCCTTTCACTAACCATTAACTGGGACCTGCTTACAGTAGAGTAGGTGCACTCCAGACCCCTTCTTCCTATCCACTCCCCTCTGACCCCTATTCTCGCCATCCTTTTCATTTACGAGACAGGGGGACAGTTATAGGAACACCCTAAACTGTGAGTGTGTTCTACACTCTAAACACAGATCTAGGATCAGATTAATGTGCCCAATTTCCAAATCTCAACCATTAGGGGGTTTAAAATATCTGTACTTGGATAAGGGATAAAGGCAACTTCTACCTATGCAAATTGTGTGGATGCTATGATGGACTAGAGACATGACAGAGTCCATCTCTCCATCCATTCATCCCCTACACACTAAAGCTCCAGTTGCCTCACTCTTCCTTCCCACAAACATACAATTAGCACAGTCGCAGGCCTCCAGAGCACCACAAGGGCAGGTGCAGGAGCAGGAGCAGCATGGTCGGGTCAGGACAGGGTGTGACATTTTGGTTGGACCCCTGACCCCACCCCTGACCCTACGCCTGCTGGCCAAAATAACCCCAACAAGCCATGAACAAACAGCTGTGTCTGCAGACAGATGCTATACTGTAAAAAATGAAGTGTTGAATCTACTTAATAAAATTAAGGCAACACATTTACACAATATTATTGAGTAAATGTAATATCCTATGTTTTTGAGTAAAATAAACTTGAATAAGTTGTTTGAATTTACACAAATAAAGTCCAGGGAATTAATAATAGGCATAAAAATGTGTTGGATTTAGAGATAATATGATTAAATATGAGTTGAAGTAACACAATTATTTAGTAAACTGAAAATATAAGTGTTTCACAAACATTTAATGTTTACCATTGTGTAATGTATTTGATAATTTGCCATATTAACCCACTTTATTGAGCACAGTGCTCAGTCCACCAGTAGTAACTGCAGACAAACTGCAAGCATTACAGAGTGCTGCATTTGCCTCCGTCATTAAGAACCGTGCTGGTGGGAATAGGTTGTCTCATCATTGAACATCAATGTGCTTGACTGTTTTAATAGCCGTTCATCATGAGCCATTACACCTCTTACAAGCTGCTTAATACTAATACAGAAAAATAATTTTCTTTCTTCAGACATGCATACAACATTGTGTAAAATAATAATAAAGTCAGAAAACTTTGAATTACCCACAATCCTCTAAAAGTATAGAGAAATATTATCAAATGTTTAGTAAATTAAATCACTTAAAATACTTACTTAAATGTTTTGGTAAAATGAAATGAACAAATCATTGAAAGGACCCCAAAATTATTTGTTTACAGCATACTGATGCTGCAATGGTCTCTGCCTCGAGGCTGCTGCCCAGAGCATAGAGCAAAGGCCCAGTGCAACTCAGAGTAGAGTCACACACTGAAGGTCTGGAGACAGAAGAAGGGATGGACGCATATAGGGACAACATAGGGTCTATGTGAGGGGTAGAGGGAGCCAATACAAAAGGGAGGTGATTTGAATGTAGTAAAACAATAGAAGGAACCGTTTAAAGAACCAAAACAAAGACAAAAGCACACATTCTCTGGCGCTGTGTTTGCATTCTTGTGTTCTGTTGAACAACTCCAGTAAGGCTGAGAAAGGCTCTCTTTAAATATGCATGCATGCACGCACACACACACACACACACACACACACACACACACACACACACACACACACACACACACACACACACACACACACACACACACACACACACACACACACAGGTAAAACAGGGAGGATCGGGTGTCCGGTCAGCCAGGACCACACACACTTAATCAGTCTGTTCAGAGCAGAGCTTTCAATAGCCCCAACCATCTGAGAGAGAAAGGATGGAGGGAGGGAGCCCCACAACAGACTCCAGCTGAAGGTCATTACACAGGGCTCTCTAGTACAGTACAGTACAGATCAATTCAAATAAACCATTCCAGCTCTTAACAAAATTCCAGATCCAAACCCACTACAGACACACATGACCATCGATCACCATCACCCTCCACAGCTGTAGGGGGAATAATTTCCTTCATAACTTCCACATCCTCTACCGCTGTTGATATCATTGCATCACTGTCAGCTAGCTACAGAAAGCTTTGAAAATGTGCGCTCTTACAAGATCTGAATCTGGACAGGCATCTGACCCATATCACACACAGCACGAACAATTATCCCACACATACATGTAAACACACCTAACAACACTCACGGTAGGTCAAAATGCAGATTGATACTATATAAACACATAGAGAGAGAAAGAGAGAGAGAGCGAGAGAGAGAGAGAGAGAGCTCTTTCATATGGGTGTGTGCTGATCACTAAGAGGAAAATACGTGGGATTGGAGTCAGCATGAAACCTACGCACCCTGGCAAAAAACAACATACCACAGAATGACAGAGCCTCTTGAAGCAGTTGAAGGGCCTAAACGAAGACACTGCTTTGTCTCTCATCCTCAGCTCAGAGTGACACAATGCACCCACCAGCTAGAGAATTACTATCACTGGCATTGCTGACTGACAGACTGAAATGTGATAGCTCGTCTAATAAACCTCTACTACGGTCGGATAGTTCCCCCTGTCAAAATGAAGTAAAGCATAACACTAGTCAACCCCTTACAATGGGAAAAAAATCGTAAATCTAAACTGTTGCATTTATTTAAAGAGGAGTCATCTTGTCTTTATAGACAATACCTCTGACATCTTATCCACATGAGTCTCCAGAGGACATACTGTATCTACAAGAATAGAATACTCTGTGAATGCATAAACCTGCTGACTCTACCCTTTCTCTAGGGCCATTTGGGAATGCTCCCTGTCAATCCCATACCACCACACTGTTTACTTTCAACCTGCCAACAGCCCAGAGCCCGTCGGTCTCCCGGGAAACCCACAGCCACAAGGCCCATGGGATACTGAAGGCCTATATGGACGGAGGTGGAGAGGGATGAAACATCACGACAGCCACCACAGAGGAAGAACATTGACAGATTGCTAGGGCCACTGGGCACTACATCAAGACAGGACTGTCACACACATAGACACACATGTACTCACTCACATAGGTTCCACACGTGCGCGCGCACACACACACACACACACACACACCAATGCAAAGTTTCATTCTATAAGTGAATAAAACATCAAACATGAAACATAGAGTAGCAAGTTGTCTGAAACATAGCAAAATATGTCAATCTGACCACACACACACACACTCCTAGGCTTTCTTCCTTTTATCTAATTGAAACCCCACCTAGCTCGATATCTTCAGGGCATCCCTCTCTCTCCTGATTACACAGTGGCTGAACACAGTGGCCTCTGTCTATAACCCTCAAGTCTAACTGATGTGAACTCAAATTACCATCTGAAAACACCCAAACCCTCTTAGTTAAACACCCAAAATCACTTAGGACCTTGTGGTAGGTATAGGATAACATTGTGGAAGGACATTCTGTATAGGCTAGCTACATCAAATGAATTATGACCGTAGCGGACTACATTAAAATCCACTAAGTCACAGTATGATGGCTATACGTTCTTCTAGCCAACGTTATGCCAGTGTGTTTTACAGTAATTAGTGTCTGGTGAATGTCATGTGTCTGTTGTGTGTCTTCTAGCCATATCCTCCATTCCTCTCTCCTCCCTGTCCCTGTTTAGTCCTCAGATAGTCACCATTCATCTAGTCTGACCCCACTGCCGATCCAGGGTTCCCCACATCCATATAAGGACATAATCCAACACAGTCAAGAGTTCAACTTTAGTTGACTTGCTGACGCTCCATATCACTCCCCCGCTGTATTTTAATTTTACATGTAAATTTTAAATGATTTCTTTAGGGGGTAGATCAGCTTTAATACTTCATATAGATTGTAACTTCTATCAATGTAATTGTCTGCATCACTTCCAATCCCCAATATGTTTTTTTTTTGCAAATATATACATAAACAGCTCTGGAAATAATTAAGATACTTTTTTCTTAAATCAGCATCTCTACATGTATGACAGCCATTCCATTCCAGTGTCTGTTGGAATCCAACACAGGCACACCTCATTCTACTGAAATAGGTACTGATTAGGTGATCATCTGAACCAAATCTTATTTAACGAGGAAAAGTATAAAAACCACTGCTGTGGTCATCACTATCCTCTTGCAATAGGACCAGCTGGATGGCAAAAACAGTGCTAATAGTACCTCAAAAGTATTATTAATAAAAAAATAACTATTGACCATGCCAAAAGAGTTGAAAAGGAAAGTTTTGAGTGAGGAAAAGAAGGGTTCAATTCTGGCTTTACTGGCAGAGGGATACAGTGAGCGTCAGGTTGCTTCCATCCTTAACATGTCAAAGACAACGGTTCATAAGAACAAGGTCAAGCAGCAGACATTGGGGACAACAAAGCTACAGACTGGCAGAGGGCGAAAACGACTCTCTACTGACTGGGATGACCGCCAACTCATTAGAATGTCACTCAACAACCGTAGGATGACATCAAGAGACCTACAAAAATAATGGCGAAAGGCAGCTGGGGTGAAGTGCAAGGCGAGGACGGTTCGAAACAGGCTCCTAGGGGCAGGGCTGAAGTCGTGCAAAGCTAGAAAAAAGCCCTTCATCAATGAGAAGCAAAGAAAAGCGAGGCTGAGGTTGGCAAAAGACCATAAGGATTGGACTATAGAGGACTGGAGTAAGGTCATCTTCTCTGATGAGTCCAATTTTCAGCTTTGCCCAACACCTGGTCGTCTATTGGTTAGACGGAGACCTGGAGAGGCCTACAAGCCACAGTGTCTCTCACCCACTGTGAAATTTGGTGGAGGATCGGTGATGATCTGGGGGTGCTTCAGAAAGGCTGGAATCGGGCAGATTTGTCTTTGTGAAGGACGCATGAATCAAGTCACGTACAAGGTTGTCCTGGAAGAAAACTTGCTTCCTTTTGCTCTGACATTGTTCCCCAACTCTGAGGATTGGTTATTCTAGCAGGACAATGCGCCATGCCACACAGCCAGGTCAATCAAGGTGTGGATGGAGGACCACCAGATCAAGACCCTGTCATGGCCAGCCCAATCTCCAGACCTGAACCCCATTGAAAACTTCTGGAATGTGATCAAGAGGAAGATGGATGGTCACAAGCCATCAAACAAAGCCAAGCTGCTTGAATTTTTGCGTCAGGAGTGGCATAAAAAAAAACATCAATGTGAAAGACTGGTGGAGAGCATGCCAAGACGCATGAAAGCTGTGATTGAAAATCAGGGTTATTCCACCAAATATTGATTTCTGAACTCTTCCTAAGTTAAAAAATTAGTATTGTGTTGTTTAAAAATTAACATGAACTTATTTTCTTTGCATTGTTTGAGGTCTGACAACACTGCATCTTTTTTGTTATTTTGACCAGTTGTCATTTTCTGCAAATAAATGCTCTAAATGACAATATTTTTATTTGGAATTTGGGAGAAAAGTTGTCAGTAGTTTATAGAATAAAACAAAAAATTTAATTTCACCCAAACACATACCTATAAATAGTAAAACCAGAGAAACTTATATTTTTGCAGTGGTCCCAGAGCTGTATATATACATATACATACATACACAGACATACATATACACATTCATACATATAAATACATATACATACATATATATATACATATCCTTTAAAAAATATATATTTTCCTTTCCAACCCCACCACCCCTCCCTTAATTGGAGTAAACTAGTGAACAACAATGCTTAGGCCTCTACTTCCAGCTTATATACTATACATACTATATACATTTTATGGACAGAGTCAATTTCACAATAATTATATTTTGTTTGTTTTTACTCCTGAACTTCCTCTACCCTCAACCTCTCTGATCATTTTCATGATGTCCATCCGGTTTGCCTCTACATGCCATATCCCCCAAACTGTGCTCTTTCACAAAAGTTCTCAACCTATATACTTATTATGGACGCAGTATGTTTTACATTAGTCATTTTGTTGTTATTAGTTGTTATTAGTCCCAACCTTCAGCACCATTCAACCCCTCCCATCTATCTCTTAACACCATCCATATTGGATTTTTACTTGCCATATATTTCTCAACTGTACTGTGATGTTTCACAAAAATTCTGAACCCTTCTATTCTCATTGTTTCTATAGATTGTAAATTGAAAATAATTTTTTTTGCTAAAAGTATTATTATATTATTGATCGATTGACTATGACTTTTCAGATCACCCAGTAGTGCTATCTGCAGGGTTAGCTCCAGGTAAATATTGCAATCCTTCAGCCATTCCTGGACCTGTGACCAAAAACAAGCTACAAATGGACAGTACCAAAACAAATGATCTAATGATTCTGTCTGCAGACCTGGGAAGATTGTATCCCCCATATAAATAACATTCTATTGGTTGCAAGAATTTTGTAAAATAATATAAAGTTTTGAATCCAGCGTCGTTTTGCGTATCAGTTCATAAACCATTTGCCATGGAATCAGTACGTAAAAAATCTCTTCCCAACTATTTTGCAATCTATATGGGACGGCTGTCAATCCTTTGGTCCTTAAATGAAACTGTTATACTTTTTTATTTATCACAATTTTCTTTAAACAATTATGGTCTTTAATGCAAGGCCGACAGACAAGTTCCTTACTTTCTCCCCCTTCCACTTTCCTCTTCCATTTTTCCGACAGACAAGTTCCTCCCCCACTGTTACTACAACTGAGCTAGGATAGCTACAGTGGGGAGAACAAGTATTTGATACACTGCCGATTTTGCAGGTTTTCCTACTTACAAAGTATGTAGAGGTCTGTAATTTTTATCATAGGTACACTTCAACTGTGAGAGACGAAAAATCCAGAAAATCACATTGTATGATTTTTAAGTAATTAATTTGCATTTTATTGCATGACATAAGTATTTGATACATCAGAAAAGCTCAACTTAATATTTGGTACAGAAACCTTTGTTTGCAATTACAGAGATCATACGTTTCCTGTAGGTCTTGACCAGGTTTGCACACACTGCAGCAGGGATTTTGGCCCACTCCTCCATACAGACCTTCTCCAGATCCTTCAGGTTTCGGGGCTGTCGCTGGGC